CCCAGTAAATGTCAGGCATCGCCCCCCCAAGTCAGCTACTCTGCACACGATACTTCTAATCCAGAAACGGCAGGACCCCTGGGAAGGGGGCAGGCTGGGTCTATCCATCCTAGGACAGAAGGCATGGGCGGGTCAGGAGTCTTGCCTGCCGATGCTGATAAGGCCCACAGACCAGGAGGGAGATGCAGGATGGGGTGTCCCTGGGCAAAGACGATTCTTTGCTTCATTTGAGCACCTACTGTGTGCCAGGCCAGGGGTCAGAGCCCCAGGGGAATAGCAGCACCTACTGTGTGCCAGGCTGGGGGTCAGAGCCCCAAGAGAACATCAGCACCTACTGTGTGCCAGGCCTAGGGGGCAGAGCCCCAGGAGAACATCAGCACCTACTGTGTGCCAGGCCGAGGGTCACAGCCCCAGGGGATACGAGCACCTACTGTGTGCCAGGCTGGGGGGCAGAGCCCCAGGGTCATCAAGGCAACGAGTGAAGGATAACCCAAGTGCCAACATGTCACCTGCCGTGGGCCCACCCTGGCCCACGTGCTCTCTCTGTATCCATCCACTCAACTGAACCGATGCAGGATGCAGGTGGTTTCAGAGACGAGGGATCACAGTGCTGAGAAACAAAGCCTCGCACCTTGGAAGGGAGGAGAAGAGGCCAGTCTGGAGAGAGGAGTGGTGGAGGGTGGACTTGAGAGGTTAGCATAGTGCTGGCTCTGAGGCTTTTGCCACGGATCCCTTGGGGCTGGCCAACCAGGCTCATGTCCTGTGCCGTGGGAACAGTCTCTCACTGGCTTCATGACCCAGATAACCTTGGCAATTCTCTGACAGCCCTGTGCCTTCCCGGGGCCCAGCCAGGTGGTTCTGGGGCTCCTCCCAACGGTCCTTGAGCCTCCCTGTGAGAATCCCAAGGGCCTGTGATGCGGGCGCAGGGATTCCCTCCTCGGGGACTCCTGGGGGCACTTTCAGGCGGCCCCACGTCTTGGGCCTGCAGCGCTTCTTACCTTGACGGCCGATTCCCCAGCTACCTCACTGAACAAAGAACTCGAAGCCGGAGTCCTTGTGTCCCAGACCCAAGTCGCATCTAAGCCCTGGCTTTCGATGGGGCCTGACTTTGATCCTGACCACAGAGTGGGTGCCCACTCCCCTCAGTGTGGACACCAGGATATGCCAACTCTACACCCACGGGCACACAGGAATCCTGGCTTGAAGCAGCTGCAATGCTGAAGGACACATAATCCAAAGTCCAAGTCCTTTGTCCTCAACCCCACCTTCCCTGGACGAGTTCTATCTGCTCACACAGCTCCCCAGCCACTGAAGGGGACGAGCCGCCAAGGCCAGCCGCAAACCTGCGGAGCTCATCCCCGGGGCTTTTCCCTTGACCCGCAGGCTCACGGGGCAAGCCCGGCCCGGACAGCAGCCCTCTGTTCCTCTGTGACGGCCTCGAGCAGCACGCCTGGCCCTCGGAGGGGCAGTGCCGTCCTTCTGCGCCACTCAACCCTGCCCCCACCCCCTGACGGTGCCCCCCTGGCTCCCCTCCACTCCGGAGAGCAGCCAGGCAGCTCTACCCGACGTGTGGACCCCTCCCTTCAAATCCAAAAGATGGGGATCCTTTTGACACGCGCGCCGTGCGCCCGTGAACAGCTCCCAGTCCCAGGGTTCAGGTCTCACCCGTGTAACTCTGCCTAGCTACGGCTGCACACCTGTCCCTTGAGTGAACGGGAAGCGGGGCGGGCACGCTTCCATCACCTTGGGTGCGCTCTCGTCCACCTGTGTGTTGTGTGGGTGTGCGCGTGTGCACACGCACAACTGTATGCACACGCACCCACTGTGGCTTAACCACAGCACCAGCGGGAAGCGCGAGTCCCCCAGAAACAGCTGCCGCAAACACCTAGCAATCTTCAGACCGCTGGCCTGTCACCCCGGCTGTCTTCCCTCCTCCAAGTGCAGCGTGTCAGCTGACTGTCACAGTGGAGGAAGCTTCCAGGAAGACAGATTTCAGGGGAGAAGCCGACCCCGACCTTCTAAGCACCATAAAGACCATCCTAGGGGAGAGGGGCTGCGGCCAGCATTCCGGAAACAGCTGGGAACGGACCTTTGGAGACTCAGCTGATCCCTCAGCCTGACTCAGGCCAGCCTGACCCCCGGGCCCACGAACAAGGGGCATTGCTCTGGCATCCAGGACGCACCACCCACATGGATCCACGTCGGCACGGCAGCCTCCCCAGAGGGCCCAGGACTCCCAGCAGCTGGAGGGCCTCCGCCTGGCCCATCTGCTTTGTCACCATCTCCAAACACAGCTGGCAAGACAGACCATACGGACGCACCGAGTGCCTGCCCTCCTGGCAGCCGGGCCCTGCCCCGCACGTGTGCAGGCAGACAATGGGACCGCAGACCTGGGGCCCGAGGGGAGCAGTCCAGACGCCCCCCAGCCGCAGGTGGCCTGCGAAATCCGTCAAGTTCAAGGAGTGGCGCAGCCACACACAGCCAGGGAAGTGGGTAAAAGCCACGGGCCAACCACTCTGCCTGCCATTGTTGAGGGCAGGGCTCTGCCGTCTGGGACCCAGCCCACCGGGCCCACACAGGTCCCCGCCCTCAGGCTGGGCCCACACCCTGGCTGTGACCAGACTGCGGCTGGACCCTAGGGGCATCCCTGGGGCGGGGGGAACCACAGAGGTCAGCCTGTAAAAGGCACCTTGACGGGGCTCTGGCAAACGGGCAGACACACGTACAAATTATCTCTGGTGCAGACCGAGGAGAGAGTTGGAAAAACCTCCAAATAGTGAGAGAGCGGAAACCCAACCAGCTGCTTGGCCGGAACCTGGCTCAGGCCACGATGAGTCGGGGCAGAGGAGCCCACCTCCCCATGGCCAGGCCTGTCCACACCCCCGGGAGCCACTCGGAACCCCGATTCCAGGGTCTTCCACAGCCGACTGCAGAGCTTGGCGGGGGTGGGTGGTGGGTGGAAGGTTGGTCCAGACAGCCCCTGCGGGCCCCAGGGGGCAGTGGCTGCCCCCCAGGGCAGCTGGCACCCCCACCCCACATCCCGCTCTCCCCCGACACCCAGGCATCCTCAAGTGCACAGGACCCTCATGGGGACTCACGTCCCCGGAACCATGTCTGAGGCTCCCTGTCTTCGGGGACTCAGTAGTCTAGAGAAGGAGCGGGGTGGGGACAGCAAAGGTCCTCCCCCGAGCTCAGGCAGCCTCAGTGAGGACACAGACCAAGCCCAGAGCTGGGAGGCCAGACCCCAATCCAGACCCCAAGCAAAGGCAGCACGCCCCCTCCCCGCAGACCCTGCCCCCTTCAAGACTCCCTGGGTCTGGGCTGAGCGGGGACACAGCAGTAGCTCCCCCAGGCAGCCTCTTTCAAGCCCCCCAAACTGGGGAGCCCGGTTACCCGCCGCGCCTCACGTTCAGCACCATCCGCCCCCCAAGCCGCCCGCGTCCGCGATCGTCCCGCGCCACCCCGGGCTCCCCAGGGCCGGCCACCGTCCCCCGGGTCCGCAGACTCTGGCACCGGGGGGCTCCCCCGACCCCGCAGCCCGCCCCCCCCCCCAATCCGGCGGCCGGCTGGACGCTCCCGACCCTCCGGGCCGCAGCCCCCCCGGCCCCCTCCCCGCCCGCTCCCCGGCGCCTCCGCAGCCCCGCCGCCCCCTCCCCGCCCGCGGCGCTCCTACCGTGAGAAGCGGGGCGCGCTGGGCCGGGCCGGGCCGGGCCGGGCCGGGCGCGCGGGGGCTCAGCTGGCGACGCGGCCCGGCTGCAGGAAATGCCAGAAGACTGATCCAACCGCGGGAGCTGAGGGAGGGAGCGCGGGGCGGAGGAGAAGAGGCAGGGCGGAGAGACCGAGGGCGCGGCGGCCGCAAAACCCGGGCGGGATCGCAGTGCGGAGCCGGCGCGCCTCGGACCCCGGCCCCTGCCGGGCTGCGCCCTGCTCCGCCCGCACGCTGTGGGGCTCCTCCCCTAACCCCTGCCCGCCCCGCGACGGGGCGCGGACCCTCCTCCGGAAAAGGGGTGCTGGCGGTGACTGGGGTCAGCCTCCAGGGTGAGGGGTGTGGGAGGGCCCGTCGTGGTTACAGATGCTTGCAGGCCTCCAGCACCCTCTCGCAGCCAGGATGTGGGGAGACACCTCTGTTTCTGAGCCTAAGACTCTTACCAATTCTCCCCCAGGTGGAAGCCACCAGAACACAAGAGGAAGCCCAGGAATCTGAGCCCACTGTCCTTGTGCCCTGTGTGTGGTTGGATGGACACTGCTTCACACCCAGGGTTCTAACAGCATCTCTTTCTCAGGATATGTGTATATATGTATATTTTTGTTGTTGTTGCCAGGAGCCCGCCTTCTTGTGAATTTTCTCCTGTGTGTCCTCACTCCTTCTGCCCTCAGAGACCGTTTTAGACCCTGAAAACTTCCTGTACACATAAGAGGCTCTAATTCTGCTAAACAACCCCAGGGCGGGCGGAGAAGGTCAGGGGTCTCCCCCAGCCCTTCCCGGGTGCCCCGGGACGGTCTCAGAGCCTGCTGGGGTCCTCCTCTCGCCCTGTCCCCCAGGGGAAGACCAGCTGAAGCCGGGCCCACCCACTTCCAGGCCTGGAGGAGCAGGTAGGGTTTCCAAACTCTCAGCCACTCCCTTCCAAAGAGCAGGACTGACCCTCGGCTGAGCCCTGGAGCCTCATGTTAATGGAGTGTTCCCCGAGCCTGGTGGTCAGAGCGAAGCAGCCTGACCGCCCGGCGAAGCTGGGAGCTGCCCAGGGAGGCCCCTCCGGGCCCCTTGAGTTGGAGCAGGCTCTTGGGAGCGGCTGCAGGACTTCCTACCAGAGCTCTGCCCCAACCAGCCAGGTGGATGGCCCCGGACCAAATGGGCCCCCAGCCTCAGTATCATGGCCACCCCATCAGGCCAGGGGTGGTTCCCCCAGGGCACCAAAGCATGGTGGGTGAAGGGGTGGGGTGTGCTGCCTCGGCGGGAGGTTCTGGCCTCACCCCCAGGACTGGTCCCACCCCACCATCACCTTGCGAGGCCTCTGGATGCAGAGCTGCTCAGACAAGATGCTCAGGGCCATGGTGGGACCCCTCCGCCTCGTCGGGGGTGGGATCTGCTCTGCACGCAGGCCGAGGAGACCAGCCTGGAGGCTCTTCACGGCTTCTTCCTGGGGCTGGGTGTGACTGCCGGCAGCCTGGCCAATGGCTGGTTGTTAGGGCAGACCCACGGGGGAATGAAGGAAGAAAACAAAGTCGCTGTCCCCTGGGGTGGAGGTCTCAGGGGCCGAAGTAGGGAGTCTGCAGTCACTGTGATGCTGGCTGCTTGAGGCCAGCTCGCATTTATGAAACGACACCGCTGAGGTCAAAGGGGCACCTGGGCCAGTGTGGGGCAGAGAAGCCGGAGGGCTGGCCACGGTGGCCGTGGAGGCTTACTGGGTGGGCTTCACGTCCAGGAGCTGCCGTGCAGCTCTGCCCCTCGGTCTCCTCACCTGTCACGGGAGCCAGGATTCCGTGATTCCCCGGGGAAGCAACAGGCCCCTCGAGTGAACCCAGAGGACGTGGCTGATGGGTCTCTGACCAGCAGCCCCGGTTCTGAGTTTCTGACATCTCCCATGACCTGCCTGGGAGAAGTAAGATTTCTTTAAAGGGCCCTTGCAGATATGGAGGAGTTCACTCTTTCTCAGGTGAATACAGTCTAAAGTTGAGACAGTTTCCGTCCAGTCTTCAGCTGGGCGCATTCTGCCTTCCTCCTTGAGGTGACCTCCGGTGGCGTCCGGAGACGCCCCTCGTTGTCACGGCTGACGGTGCTCCTGGAGCCCAGCCAGGGGAGGCTGGGGGGCCAGCAAACACCCACCACACGCAGGAGAGAGGCCCGCGGTGGGAACGGCCCGGCCCCAAACGTCAGCCGTGCTGAGGCTGGGACACCCTGCTCTCGAGGGGGGATGCTGGTCACCCTTGGGGTCACTCCTTGGTTCTGGGTGGCCCACCCATGGGTGTTGCGGGAGCCCCCACGGGTCTTACAGGTGGACCCCCACCCTGTCCCGGTGCCATGCCAAGGGGCTCTAGATGGTGACTCCAATCCTCCCCCCAGTTCTAGGAGGCAGGTCCTGACAGGCTCCAGCTTACAGGCAGGGAAACGGAGGCACAGAGCCAGCAAAAAGCCCCTAGGCTCTTGCTCCGCACAACCTGGTTCAGGGCTGTCTCAGAGCCTCTGAGCTCCGCCCCCGCTCCGCTGATGAGGACTTCAGGCTCAGAGGGAAGCCCCCGGGGCCCCCGCCCCTTCGCTGCACAGGCTGCCTCACCCAGCAGGGTAGATCAGCCAGGACGCTTGGGAACAGGGGTGCCCGACAGGGTGCCTCCCAGGTGGGCTGCGGGGGGACCTGGCTGGGCTGGCCCCCCGGAAGGGGCCTGAGCCAGGTAGGTGCTGGGTGCTTTCACACCTGCCGAGCAGCAGCGGCAGCAGTGACTATTTCCCCATTTCTCAGGTGAGGAAAATGAGGCCCAGGTATAAGGGGTGCATCTGGTTCCCCGCCTCCTCACTGGGCCCGGGGCAGCAGCGGAGTGGCCCAGGGGATCGGCCAGGACAGGTGAGCCTGGGCCCGCTGTCTCCTGCTGGCCCCAGAGCAGATCCATCCCTAGCTTGTGGCCTGTGGACTTTGCCGGACACTCAAGGGCAGCTCAGAGCGTCTTTGCTCGGAGACCTGCAGCTCCCAAGCCTCAGTTTCCTCGCTTGTGCAGTGGGGCTGAGGTGACTCCCTGCCGAGGGGTATGTGAGGCCCCAGCGTGGCCTCCACAGCCCAGTGATCCCTTGTAAGAACAATCGCAGCACTGATCGCCAGCTTGCCATGTGCTGGGCGCTTTGTCCGCACTTTCTGGGCATGCCAGCTTGCATCCTCTGCTCCTCCCGGAGACAAGGGTTACCATCCCCACCCTGTCGAGGTTAAGTGACCAGCTCCAGGCCAGGCAGCTGGGGAGTGGCCTCAAAGGGAAACTGTTAGTCACTCATGGGCTGTAGCCCGTCAGGCTCCTCTGCGCATGGGACTCTCCAGGCAAGAATACTGGAGTGTGTAGCTATTTCCTTCTCCAAGGGATCTTCCCGACCAGGGATCAAACCTGGGTCTCCTGTATTGCAGGAGGATTCTTTACCATCTGAGCCCCCAGGGAAGCCCCGGGAGAGGCTTAGGCAGGACTGAACACCCGCAGGTCTAGCTGGGGTGCGGGAGGCCGGTTGTCTGCGCCCCTCCTTGGGGGTGGGCGTGCCGAGAAAGGTCCTCCTCCAGCCCCGTCTCTGCCGTCTCAGCCCCCGCAGGGAGGCACCGCATCCCCAGGCCCGTCCCTCCTGGTCCATCCAGGGAGATGCTGTCTTCCTGACGGGGTATCTTCGTGGGCAGAGTCACCGAGCCAGGTGTGGGGGCTGGGAGGGCCTGCTCTCTGATCTCTCCCAGGGAAGCCTGTGGGATTCAGCTGGAGAAGCTCCCTTGGGCATTCTGAGTCACGTGGGCGCCAGGCTGGGGCGTCCTGCGCCGGCCGGGCCTGATGGCCCCCTCTCTGTCTCTCTGTCTCACATACACAGCCCTGTCCTCCAGGAGGACACATTCAAACCCCAGCACTTGTTCTCCCTGGAGAGCAGGGAGGTGTTATTTAGCAAGACCCTCAGGGACTCGACAGGAAGCACTGACGTGGCCTCCAGAGGCCGCGTGTGGGCTGTGCGATGCTGGATGCCGCTGGACACGGCCCTGTGCCCACACTCAGACCTCCCTGGGGTCACAGGGGTGAAATCTGGGCCGGCGGACCCTGCCTCTGGCCCTCCTGTGAGGACGGTGGTGGGCACTGTCATGAGGGGGGCCGGGCACACGCCTGCGGAACGCCTGAGGGCCTGGAGCTGGACAGAGACCACCCACGCTCCCTGGTGTGGACCAGAATGTCACCTGCCGTATCGGCAAACAAAGGATGCTGCAGCCACCAGGCCGTCCGCCACTGCAGCTGTCCTGACTGTCACCCCCGGGGGACTCAGGATGGATGGAGAAAAGCAGGATGCTGGCCCCAGACAGCGAGGTTTAGTCAAAGGAACGGCTCCAGTGAGCCCAGACTCTTGCACCTTCCCATGCACAGAAAACTGCTAAATTCCTTAACTTGAGATGTCTGATTTTTTTTTTAACTAGCAGCAATCTTTTGATGTTCTGATTACCTGGTTTTTGTTACAAAAACTCCTATATATCCTGGCTGCTGCCTTAACTCTTCAGAGCAGTTTCTCTGAGTGGTCTGAGAGGTTGCCCCCCAGACGTAAGTCCTTAGCACGTCTGCCTGTTCCAGTCTCGAATTCTCCTCTCCTTTCTCCTACAAGCTTGCCTGGTGGCTTGGACGGTAAAGGATCCGCCTGCAGTGTGGGAGAGCCAGGTTCAATCCCTGGGTCTGGCAGATCCCCTGGAGAAGGAAATGGCAACCCACTCCAGTATTCTTGCCTGAAGAACCCCATGAACAGGGGAACCTGGTGGACGACGGTCCATGGAGCCACAAAGAGTCAGATGTGACTGAGCAGCTAACACAGTGCCTACTTTTGGGTTTCCCTGGTGGCTCGGATGGTGAATCTGCCTGCAACGCAGGAGACCTGGGTTCCATTCCTTGGTCTGGAAAACTCCCTTGGAGAAGGAAATGGCTACCCACTCCAGCATTCTTGCCTGGAGAATCCAAGGACAGAGGAGTCCACGTGGTTGCAGAGAGTAGACACGACTGAGTGACTAACTCTTTTACCTATAAGGATGCTGTCATTGGATTTAGGGCCTTCCAGGATAATCCAGGATTTCTTAGAGAAGTGACTTAATTACATCTGTAAAGGCCCAGTGCCAAATGAAACACAATTGTTAGACTTCCCTGGTGGTCCAGTGGTTAAGAATCAGCTTGCCAGTACAGGTGACGTGGGTTTGATCCCTGCTCTGGAAAGATTCCTCGTGCCACAGGGCACCTAAGCCCGTGTGCCACAGCTACTGAGCCCGCACCCTAGAACCCATGCTCTGCAACAAGAGAGGCCACCGCGGAGAGAACTCTGGGCCCCGAAACTAGAGAGCAGCCCCCCACTCGCCGCAACTAGAGGGAACTCGCGCACAGCAGGGAAGACCCAGCTCAGCCAAAAACGTTTTTGACAAAACCCCACTTCTCTTTTACATCGTGCTTTCTTTTTTTTTTTTCAACCGTCACTGGCTCCTCTTCATGCTCCCCCCAATTACATCTGCAAAGAACCTTTGTCCAGGTAAGCTCACACTCACGGACATGGGTTTGGACATGAGACCACACTGAGACTGCTGGCGAGACCCAGCTCTGCATGTCTGCAGAGCGTCCCTCCTGGGCAGGTTTCCACGTCTTGAAATGAAAGGTCTTGGCTCCACACTCGGCTTCCTGCAGGCAGATCCTGCCGTGGGACTTTTCCTTTTGTTTCCGTGGCACCAGGCAGCAGCCCCAAGCCCTCCTCCAGACACCAGAAGGGAGAACGAGCCACAGTCCTTGTGGTCCTCCCAAAGTCGGGCTGGAGAAAGCCAGCTCTCAGACCCAGTGTGGGTTTGGGGGAAATATTTTTTGGGGATGTGATTCACCCCTTGCAACAGAGACCCCAGGTGTCCTGTATCTGCTTTGGAGTTGAGGACCTGCATTCTGCTTCACTGAGCCAGTGCAAAGTTTGCTGAACTTCTTTCCTATTCTCTATGCTTTTGTTCTGAGTCTTCATCTGAGGACACAGCCTCTGGGGCCTGAAAGCCATGGACTAGAGCTGATCCAGGCTCTGCCCCTTCTTATCTAAGCCCCAAGTGAGAAGTTGGTCTTTGTTCTCAGTTGCAGAGGGTAGAAGGGCAGCAAGGGCTCCCCCCTGTACTGCCCCCACCCCGCCCCCGACACAGAAGCCCTGAGTCCTGGCGGGGGGCTCCCTCTTGGGTTGGTGATCTCCAGCCAGCCTGGAGCATCCTGACATTCTGAGACGCAGGGTTCTGGCAAGCCCACAATGGGGCTGAGGGCTGTGGCGCGTTCTCCCTTCTGGTGTCTGAAGGAGGGCTTGCTGCCTGGTGCCACGGAAACAAAAGCGAAAGTCCCACGG